TTGTAAACGAAAACCCCTAAACCTTGAAAAGACGACATCTAGCGTTCTATTTGATATCGGTAATTAATCTATGAATAAGGCATTCAGAGCATTTCGTGTTAAGACTAGATTTTAGCTTATCAGCTACTTGCATGTGTTTGCTAGTTGAAAAGGCCTCAGATCAATACTTTTTGACTGAGTTATTCCTCCCAAAAGAATTAGGGGACGCCAACCCCCCCCCCCCACCGCAAAGGCGTACACAGAAATAAATTTAGAGGGGGGGGGGAATATGCGCAAAGCGAAATTTTTTGTTGAAAAATGTTAACTGTAAATTCAAAACATTAATTTGGCTTCTTTAATACATTGAAGGTACACAAACAGTCTAATTACCTTGCAAGTCCTACTTTATCTCTCCTTCAAACAAACTAGCAGAAAAAGACAGCAAATTAATTTATTCTTGCTTTATACTCTTCAGTTTCAGATTTGAAAAGTGTGATCGATATGAGTTCTAGGGAGGGGGGCTACGCCCCCCCTTTTACAGGTCTAGGTGAAGGCACTGCCCCCTTCCCCCCTTTAGAATAGGGTTACAAAATAAAGATCAAAATTTTATATGTTTAAAATCATTACTCCTCATATTGAAGAGCTATTGTAAAGGACAAAAGTGAAATCTAATAAATATAGTTTTCTCATACAATTGTAAAGGAAAAATAAAATTCGATGAGTTATGAGGTCTCAAAGTTGTACAAGTGATGTCGCAAAAATGTTGACCTTCTCCTTCTATTTATCTAGTTTGCAATGGATAACACTTTGTTAATCTTATTTGGAATCTATTATAAGAAGTGTTTTAAACTTTTCTACCTGAGCTTTATTTCTTATTTATCTGTTTAACTATTTATACGCTAACTTCTAATCTATCTAGTAGGTTAGGATATAAACAAAACTAGACAAAAACATACAACATAGATTATAAAGCTCTTCGCTCATCTATTTATATATATATTTTTTATGTAAGTATGTATATAAGGGTGTATGTAATGTATGTAATATATATATATATATATATATGTTAGCTATAGCTGGCAAAACGGCTGGGCCGAATCGGCTGACATTTTTAAGGAACTCACGGGTACTCTTAAGGGGAAACAATAACTAAGGGTAAAAAATATAGATTTTAAAATCGATTTTTTTGGGATAATATTTTTTGTTATATTCGATTTTTTTAAAATTCCACAGGCAACGCCGGGCACTTCAAATACAGTAATCAATTGTTTTCATAGGAATACTTACTTTGACCTCAAGTTCGTAATATTTTTAAAGTTTCATGTTGTCTTTACAGTTTCATCCTTTGTTGGTAACATTGTACATATATTTAGCATTTATTTTATAATTCAAACACTAATTTTGAATATTTCTTATGTGTTCCTAAAAATTGTGAAATACGACATTTAAGAAAAAATTTAAATTCCTTTAAAGACGACATTTTATTAGAAAACTACCTTTTCTTTTTTCCTGCAGTTCCCCCGGACCTGCGGATTTAATCTTGGTCAAAAATTTTCCAGAGGACTTCTCCAAATATGTAATTAAACATTTCTGAAATATGTTTTAACGTAATATATCCAGAATACAATGTTATATGGTTATTTACATCATCAGTCTCAACCTCTTTATTTAGTCAAGGGAGGGAGGGAGTCCAGAGTTACTCAAATAGTAATCACCGCTACCCAAATCTGTTTTGCGGCAAGCGCGCTCCTCAATTGGTAATCTCCACCACCTCAATTAGTAATCACCGTAAAATTTTGTTTTCTGTAATTTGAATTTAATGCACTTTTAACACAATTTTCTACATCTATCGGGGTTTTATGGCATCTGTATTGACTTAACTAAATTTTTAAATTATTTTCAGATTTGTTTGGCCAACAAAAACTGAGAATCAAGGCACAGTTCATTTTAGCCGAATCTTAGATCCAATTCGCCACTTTAATGACTGCATTTCATGATTGGCGTCAAGATACAAAAAAGGTCGGGCTGCTTGTTTACTAAAAATTATCTCATCCCGCCCAAAGTAATATCCATCTCCATTTAAAAGATATTTTCAAAAAACCTTTACAGTGTTTAGATTTTTGTATTCGCCAACTCGAGTTCAACATCTACAACAAAACTAATTATATGCATAGAAAGGACTTAAAATTTACTAAAAATTATCTCATCCCACCCAAAGTAATATCCATCTCCATTTAAAAGATATTTTCATAAAACCTTTACAGTGTTTAGATTTTTGTATTCGCCTACTCGAGTTCAACATCTACAACAAAACTAATTATATGCATAGAGAGAACATAAAATTTTGAAAAATTAGTCTCATCACACCCACTACTGAAAATGAAGTATTTAGTCCACTAATAATGGGTTAAAGTTTCCTCTCTATATAAGGAGTTTATACAACATTCAGAGGAAAATGCCGCAAACATTCTTAAAGCGAAACTTGAAACTAAAAAACGTAATATATTTCTAGCACTTAGTGTGGCATATTTATTGATTTATTTTCGAAACTAAGGAGCAATAAAGAAAGCTTTAACAATATTGTACACCATAGGGCCATTAAAAGAGGTCAATATGGTCTTATTTCTAAGAAAAAAACGATTTAATTTTATGCTTTTTTGGGCTGATTACTATTTGAGGTGGTGGAGATTACCAATTGAGGAGCGCGCTTGCCGCAAAACAGATTTGGGTGGCGGTGATTACTATTTGAGGAACTCTGGACTCCCTCCCTCGTCAAGGGGACTTACAATGAAAAAGTGTAATAATAACAGAAAATAAAGAACACATACAATTACACTGATTTCATTAAATGATAAGCACTTTAGTCTGAAATTATTACAATAATTTATAATTTTGTCAGACACATAACATTGAGCTAGTGTACTTAAGTATGACGTAGATACAGCTGAACTGAGAGTGTACACTTATGACGTTGATACAGCTGAACTGAGAGTGTACACTTATGACGTAGATACAGCTGAACTGAGAGTGTACACATATGACGTAGATACAGCTAAACTGAGAGTGTACACTTATGACGTAGATACAGCTGAACTGAGAGTGCACACATATGACTTAGATACAGCTGAACTGAGAGTGTACACTTATGACTTAGATACAGCTGAACTTAGAGTGTACACATATGACGTAGATACAGCTAAACTGAGAGTGTACACTTATGACGTAGATACAGCTGAACTGAGAGTGCACACATATGACTTAGATACAGCTGAACTGAGAGTGTACACATATGACGTAGATACAGCTGAACTGAGAGTGTACACCTATGACGTAGATACAGCTGAACTGAGAGTCTACACGTATGATGTAGATACAGCTGAACTGAGAGGTGTACATATTCTTTGTTGCCACTTATATGCATGATAATTTATTTGAGACTACCTAAGAAAATTATATTTTTAAATGGACTGTTGACGAAATTTTAAGTGAATCCCTGATTGAAGAATCGCATGCCGATTCACAACAGTACCCTTTACGGGTTTATTAACCTAACTATGTAAATAGAGGGTCCTAAACTATGTTGACAGTCCCTGTATTTCCTTTCGTATTATGAAAATGAATGAAAGCAGACAAATCTCCGAGATTAAAACTTGATATTTCAATAAACAAGGGAAAGCTAAATTTTGTGCCAGAAAGAGATGGGTACGAAGCGTCCTGGATTTTACAAATAGTTACATTGCTAGCTAGTCAAAGGAGTCTACCTGCCAATTTCAATTTGTCTCTGTCACCCTTCTTCCCAGCCTCCCCTCTCTCCCTCCCCCTCCCTTCCCCTCACCAACTCTCTTCTATTCCCTCCCATCTCTTTCCGATAGGAAATTGTTTACACATTGAGTAACTTAGGATTATTATTTAACGACATTGAACCTATAAAATATTGAAATATAAAACTTAAATTTTGCAAAAATGAAATAAAATAAAATTATAGTTTTACGAACACTTTTATGAGATAATTTAAGAAGAAAGTTACCAAAAAATGCATTTTAAATATTTCCTTGAAAAAGGAAATAAAATATTCGGTGTAAAGTGTAAGTACTACATACGTTCACCCCGTTTAGTACATACCACACCCCTGCATAGATGATAAACACCCCCCCCCCCTCAAGTTTCAATTTTTTTCAATGAAGGGTAGTAGAGATAAGGACCCGGTAAATTTTGTCCGGCTCGGGATCGGTCAAAATTGACCACCTGGTCAAATTTGCCCGAGCCGAGCTGGACAAAATTGACCATTTCCTGCTGCAGAAGGAAAAAATGTGCCGGGTTTTGTATCTCCACAACCCTTCATTGAAAAAAATTGAAACTTTAGGTCTACTCTATGGACAGTGTAATGAGTTAACACTGTGAATTTCAGCAAGATCTGTCTCGTCACTAATGGGTTGATTTGCAAATATATGATTGAGCTCACGATTTGAAAATGGTTTCAAATTAATCCAATTGGTGCGGGGTGCCTTAAGGATGAATTCCGGTGGGCTATGAGGTTGGAACAATATATTTTTATCCTTAAATTAAGTAAAAATAAAAATATGAATTATTGATTTAAAAATTTAAAATAAAGGATAGTTTTGTCAATAAAATAGAATAAAGATTCTTGAAATTGTATTCTAGATTTAAAATCTTGGGAATAAACTTGGCTTTGAAAATTGCAAGGAATTAAAGGAAATTTTATTTCCCTTGGGAAATTAAAAAATTGTAAAATTATTTATGATTGGCAACCCTGAAACTGGAATTCAATAAACTCTATTGCTCATTTCAGAGGATTCAATGTAGAATTCGTCTTGAGCTGCTCCGAGCTGAGTTCCTGCTTCTGGAGCTAAGGTCTCTGCTGCTATAACTTCTGTGAAGCCGCAAATCTGCTCCTGAGGCTGTGGTTTCTCTACCCCAATAAAGGGGACAGGTGATGGTTGAATGTAGCCCCAAATATGTCTTCATTCTTTCTACGGAGAAGGTCTTGATATTTCATGGTGTTATTTAGGTTCATTCTTGAAGAGGACAATTTTCCCCTTGAGGTTTGAGGTTGAACTCATATGGTAGGATGGGTTGGTTGTAGGATCAGGCTTGAATGGAGAGTCCGGTTTGGTTGGAGGATCTGGTTTGATTGAATGGTCAGGTGCGGTTGGAGGAACAGGTGCGGTTGGAGGATCTGGTTTGGTTGAAGGATATGGCTTAGTAGCAGAATCAGGTTCTGTAGAAGGATTAGGCTTGGTTAAAGCTTCTGGTTTGGTTTGAGCAACTTGTTCAATTGGAGGATCTGGATTGGTTGGAGGATCTGCTTTGATTGGAGGATTAAGTGTGGTTGGGGTAACAGGTGCAGTTGGAGGATCTGGTTTGAATGAAGTATCTGGGTGAGTAGCAGAATCTGGTTCTGTTGAAGGATCAGGCTTAGTTAAAGGGTCTGGTTTGGTTGGAGGATCTGGTTCAATTGGAGGATCAGGTGGGGTTGGGGGATCAGGTGTAGTTGAAGGATCTGGTTTGGTTGAAGGATCTGGTTGGGTTGAAGGATCTGGTTTAGTTGAAGGATCTGATGTTATAGGAGGTTAGGTGATGTTGGAGGATCAGGTGCAGTTGAAGGATCTGGTTTGGTAGAAGGATTTGGTTCGATTGGACGATCTGCTTTGGTTGGAGGATCTGGATTGGCTGGAGGATCTGGTCCAATTTAAGAATCAGGTGGGGTTGAAGGATTTGGTTTGGTTGAAGGGTCAGGTTTGGCAGAAGGTTCTGGATTGGCAGAGGGTCTGGTTCAACTAAAGGATTTGGTTTAGTGCAGTGGAAGGATCTGGACCAGTTTCAGAATCTGGTTCTGTTGAAGGATCAGGCTTGGTTAGGAGATCTGGTTTGGTTGAAGGATTTGGTTTGGTTGAAGGATTTGGTTTGGTTGAAGGGTTAAGTTCGGCAGAAGGATCAGGCTTGGTTGAAGGGTCTGATTAGGGAGGGGGTCTGGTTCGACTGAAGGATTTGGTTTAGTGGAAGGATCTGGATCAGTTTCAGAATCTGGTTCTGTTGAAAGATCAGGCTTGGTTAGGAGATCTGGATCGGTTGAAGGATTGGGTTCAGCTGACGGATCTGGTTTGGTTGGAGGATCTGGTTTGGTTGGAGTATCTGGTTTGGTTGAAGAATTTGGTTCAATTTGAAGATCTGGTTTGAAAGAACTAGTGTGGTTGAATGATGTGGATCAGTTGCAGAATTTGGTTCTGTTAGAGGACCAGTTTTGGACCTGGTTTGGTTGGAGGATCAGGTTTGGACCTGGTTCTGTTGGAGGATCAGGTTTGGACCTGGTTTGGTTGGAGGATCAGGTTTGGACCTGGTTCTGTTGGAGGATCAGGTTTGGACCTGGTTCTGTTGGAGGATCAGGTTTGGACCTGGTTTGGTTGGAGGATCAGATTTGGTTAACAGATGTGGTTTAGTTGATGGATCTGGCTTGGTTGAAGGATCGGGTTTAAGTGAAGGATCTACAGTTGATGTGGGATCAACAAGTTGTAGACCAGTAGGGGGATCTGGAATGAAAGATTTTTGCTCAGATGTTGAAGTAGCTAAGATGTGTTGAGCACTGTAGAAAGTCCAGTAGTTGTTGAAGTCCCAGAAAAAGATGGAAGTATGTGATCTGCAGAGGGAGTGGAGGAGTTCCATGGTGCCTACTCTGGTTTTATGGAGGTCGAGGCAGTCATAAAAGAAAAATTCCATTTTGGCATACATGGTTAGGATGGTTGGATGTTTGATGTGATCCAGTTATACATTGATTTTACTCTCCGGAATAGTGAGTTGGAAAACCGCAGTAAGGAGCAGGATGGGGTGGTTATCTGCAGGTGGTCGAGGTTGGGCATTTTAAAAAAATGACAATGTATAAATGAAGTTGAATATTTAATAATAAATCTCATTAGTTTTTCATTTCGGATTGATAAGGAGTGATCTTAGGGTTTGATGGAATAGTTTAAAACAATTATGAATACTTCTGAAAAATTTAACCCGGTTTTTACTATGGAATTTACTATGGATTTCAAAGTTATTTATGGGTTTGATCTTTCACTTAGTAAAACGTTTCACTATTTTGATTTTTTTTTGTCAGGGTAGAGAGGTAGAGTCGGAGAAATTGTTTGGTTTGGATTTGGAGCTGGTAAAGACAACATTACGTGAGGGTGGGGGTTAGGAAATATGTTTATGGATGACAATACTGTAATAAAGACTAAATAGACAAAACTAAACTATATTTCTACAATATCCTGTGTTTTGTAGATGTTTTACAAATGGCAGCTATCAAAGCAGAACGTATTAGAGACTAATACGAGCAATATGTTTACAAATCTTGTTTCATCATGAAACAGGTTTCTAGGTAAATATATCAGCAGCTACAGGATTACTTACAAAGGAAGAGACTTTAAAGGGAGTGTCTGGCTAGACATGGTAGTTGAGCTGAGAGTGCAGTAGTGTTAAGAAAATTGATTAACGTTTAAACTGTGTTTAATTTAAAGGTACAAGCGCAAAATCTATCTTTATAATCCTCTTTTAAAGATGGATTTTACGCTCTTACTTTTTCCAAATCAAGCTTAAAAATATCAAAAATATAAATTGTTGTTATTTATAGTTATTGTAATAGATTTTCAAGCACTTCTGCACAAAAAGGCTTTAAATGATTACAATTCAGTTCATTCTGAAAAACGGATTTTTGTCCTCAACACAGGCATCTATTTTATGATTTCATCTCAGAAAAAAATATTTTATTTCATTTAAAAAAAATAGCATTATTATTTATTGATGCAACCTAAAAATATGCTAAATTCACTAAACCCGACGATTTAACTAAACATTTCTCTGGGATTATTGCGTATCTTCTGAATTGATGAAGTCACACTCACATACCAAGTGTTTTGTACTATATACATGTAATGTACAGGGTGTCCCACGAAACATGACAGTTGATAAATAGTTGTGAATGTCGTCTTCCATACACTGTATTAGATATTAAATGCTGTTTGCAGTTTATTTCGTTTAAAAAATCTTTTGCTCTAGTATATTTTACTTTGAAATTAATTTTACTATAATATGACTCCTAAATAATATTTTTATTATTGTTTTTCGTATTAAAAAACTTATCAAATTATGGAAGAAGACATTCTAAACTATTTATACCAACTGTCATGTTTCGTGGGACACCCTGTACTAAATGTCCACACAAGAAAAACAGAAGATACACGTTTAATTAAGATTTATTTACATAGCGATAAAAAGTAATTGAAAAATTGAGATTAATAAAACGATGATAAAATTAATGCTTTTTGACATGTCATCTTGTCACACTTAGCTAAGCATATTTTGTAAACAATTCCTTAAATTGTTACAAATTTATTTAATTGCATTGTAAACATAGAGAAAACAAGTTTTCTTGAAATCCTTGGTATTTTTAGATTCTGGTTTATGACCTAGGGTTGATTCATGACACAAGAATAATCCCGGGGATTTTCTTTAAATAAATAATAGACTTACACAACATCGGTGCACTGTTTTTAAAGGAACTAAAGGTTTGGTTCATTTAAAGGGACTGTAAGCGTAATTTCAAGAGTTTGAATTGTATTTTCATAATTAGATATCGAGTCCCATTAAAGCATGTCCAATTCACAACGTTTATCCTTTAAACCTTCATTTGAAAATCTGAGAGTTGATTTTATGCAATTGTGGTTTCTCTTTTACAGCCATTTACGGATACACACTACGTCTACACAGCAGCAATGTGACAAAAATAGAAATTAACAGAACTCCGGACAATAAACGATCATCTTTCTCATTGTTATTCAGATAAAGGTACAAAGGACACCGTTGCGAATTTAGCACATGAAACTCCTCACTTGAAATTTCTTTAACAGTTCCTGTAAATGTGTGCACCGACTTCTTGCAAGCATATAAACAGGAAATATAGGTGAGAAGGGGAAACAAATCTAAATTATTGCCGAGGGGACAATTCGTAATAAATAAACAAAATATGTTCAAAATTGCAATTTAAAGATTTATATCTTACCCCTGCCTGCTTTACAGTCTTAATTTATTATTTGTATCCGTTAAAAAGGCTCAGCTACATTTTGCCTAGTCACAATTTGCCTAGTCACATTTTGCCTAGTCACATTTTGCCTAGTCACATTTTGCCTAGTCACATTTTGCCTAGTCACATTTTGCCTAGTCACATTTTGCCTAGTCACATTTTGCCTAGTCACATTTTGCCTAGGTAACAGTTTGCCTAGGTAACATTTTGCTTAGTAACATTTTGCCTAGGGTAACATTTTGCCTAGAGTAACAAAAGAGCGAATTTTTCGCCTAGTCAATAATTTTTCACAAAGAAATTTTCATCAATCCGAGATTTCTTTTTAAAAATCCGCAAATTTTTTGGCAAAAACTTCGCAAATTTTTGAAAATCATTCAGTTTCCTTTAACCCAATCAGAAAGAGAGACACATTGAAAATGGCTCCCATGATAACTGCAGGGCTTACCAGGCGGGGTAAGCCAAACTACAGAGATAAGAATAACTTCTATTATGTTTTCAATGGGGAGAGGGCAGAGAACAAGAATTGGCGCTGTTCCCAGAGATCATGCACTGCAACCCAAACAACGAGGATATCTACTGGAATCCTGGTAGGGGATGTACTCCCAACTCATGGCCATACCAACAAGCTGCTGAAGACGAAAGCTAAGACCACAGAAAAGGCTGTGATTGAGAAGTATGCCAATGTTCAAGGAAAGCAGAGATCAAAGGACTCCAGACAGAGGGTGAAATTTGTTGTAGAAGCTTTCCCTACCATGCCGAAAGCTGATTATATCCAAACCCTTGCATGTGACCAGCAGAAGATAAATAATGATAAATAAAGATCACCTGTATGTATTCCTATGTAAAATGTATTTAAAAATATATATATATATATCTGATGCATAACCATATTTTATCTTTTGTAGAGTGACAGGAATGTTAAAATTGCTGTACAGAATACAATTCAATTCATTAATTTTAATTCATTAAAATTTATCTGGTTAAACTTTAAAAAAATGTTTAATTCTTGACAAAATTTGTTTTTTATAAAAAATTATTGACTAGGCAAAAAACATGCTCTTGCGTTACCTAGGCAAAATGTTACCCTAGGCAAAAGTGAACTAGGCAAAATGTGACTAGGCAAAATGTGACTAGGCAAATTGTGACTAGGCAAAATGTAGCTGAGCCGTTAAAAAGGACTGTTCAAATTCAATCAATGATAGCTTTCTCCAAATCAGAACGATATTCTTTTAAACTTTAACTATTCATTAATATACAAAAATCGTCGTTTTTCCTAAAAAGTGTTTAATTCTGACAATTTCTTAATTTTTTCTTTTCCATAAATCCAAATGTCACTTTAATAGTGAATCACGATAGATAACAATTATTTTTAAAATAGAAAAATAAGTACTTCAAGGTTCAATTTGGTTAATTTGTTTAAATTATATTATTTTTATTGCTATAATGAGAAGGTAGGGTAATTTAAATTGCACCCCACGACCGGCGGATTTACCGACGTTCTAGCACCCTCGTACGTGAAGCGCATGAACAATTACGGTTGCAGTAAACCATTAAAGTAAAAAATACTTTTGGACTTTACAGTCGTCTCTGAAAAAAAACTATGGACGAACGACTTAAATGAAAAAACTTTGGTTTTTAACTGAACGAATTATTTTTTCAAAGTCACTTTTTATAAAACAGTTATTTATTTATTAAACGAACGAGTTTCTCGAACAAACTTTTAAGAAAAATATCGTTTTTTCATTGAAAGAACGGTTTTTTGAACAAACAATATTTTTAACAAGATGATTTTTTGAACGAACAATTTTATTGAACTAAGGATTTTACTGAACGATCACTTAGAGAGAAAAATAACAAAAATGATGAAAAATGAACGAACTTTTGGGAACAAAAGCAATATTTTTTTTTGAATGATTGAACAAATTTTGAACGAAATGGGTCGTTCAGGAAATAAAAAAGCTGAACGCACCCATCTCTATAACCATGTATACAATGTTTGTTAGTATACAAGATAAAGTATATCTATGTAAATATAAGATGAATATTTGACCAGTAGAGGGTGAATGATTGATTGACAAATCGGTGTATTGTCTTACACTCAGTAGATATGCTAGATATATGATGGAATAATCAGAATATCACAATTATTCATTCTTGATTCAGAAATCCCAGCACTCACACAGGTTTTTATAAGGTGCCGCTAGGTGCACGTAAATACACAAAATATAATCTAAAAACAAACCCAACAAAACATCAAAACAAACCCTAAAAGGTTCTCTTAAAAAAATGATTGAATTACCCTGTTTTTCTTTTTGAAAATTGATAATGTTTAAATGTGTCTCTTGGTAAAAGTGACTGGTGAAGTTTTGCTGCAGAGTCAATGAAGGAATCCCTTTAAAAGGATTTTACCAGACAGAAAAAGAATAGTTTTCTAAAAATAATCGAATTATTTGACAAAATTCGAGATTATCCCATTATCGGTAAAGTTCATTGATTTTTATAAGACGTATAAAAATATTTTAATTGAGCATACGTACATCTTCTACTGTAAAGAAACCGATTAGTTTCCGTTAACTTATGTTACCAATTGTACGTGTAC